CGATCACAGGAAGCTTGCTTAGCATGGTTGTTGTTGTTGTCTTGTCCTTATGCACACAAAGGACAAAACCCATACCCTTACAAAAGTTGTACTGTACGAAGCCAACTAGTCGACTCTTTGTCCACCAACTTTAGCTAAGGATGTCTGCTCTTGAATAGTGCTTTTGTACTATTCACTGTAGCAAAGGACAAACCTTCCTTTTAAGCCTTGACACGCACTCTAAATCTACCATATTGCATTAAATGGACATTTAATGCACTAGGTATAAATAGAAGTGTTTCTTCTCCAAACAGAGAGCGCGCATCTCTCTCTCTAACATAATTCTTACTTCAAGCATCTTCTAGCTTAAGTAAAGGATCTTTCTTTTAGCAACTTCTTTTTTTGTAATTGCTAAAGCATTATGTGTAACCAAAGGTTGTTTAGATAGGTTTTTATTACCTTATCTTTCTGCAAACAATCTTGTAAAATATGTATTGATCTTCTCTATCAATATATATTTTAAATTTGAAAATACTGTGTTTGTATTCATCCCCCACCCCCTTTTACAAATTGTTTCTCTTCTTGTAGACCCTTACAAGACCAACAACAATCAATATATTAATTAAAATAAATAAATATATGTCTTCTTTAAAAAATCACACCATTATAATTGTTGTGTCGATATGTTTGAAATGGGACCATATTAAATATTTTTATATCTAATTTTATATCATTAAATATTATAAATAATTATGAATTATGTTTAATACTTACATTTGAGATCATCTCCGGTCACAATCTGAGCAATTAAATTTTGAATAGGACAAAAAGAGTTTTAGAGAAAAAATAAAAATAGGTTACTAATCCTTCTCACTCAACAATCTAGGATCGAGTCATTTTTTACTAAATGAAATTAACATGTGACATTTGTTTATTGGTTAGTTTAGTTTCTTTTTAAAAATAAAATTCATCTAATTAATGTAACACCCGAAAATTTAGAACACTTAATTTATCTGTTTAATTCCTTGTCTAGTGTGTGTGTGCCTTTATACATATATATATATATATATATATATATATTTATATATATATATATTTATATATATATATATATATTTATATATATATATATATATTTATATATATTTAGTCATTAAGTACTTGGGAATAGAAAGCTGTAAAGTGAAGACTAAAAAGGGGGAGTTGCAGCCTATAACCCTACCATGTCTTGTCCTCTAAAGATAAGAAAGAAAAGGAAGGGATTAGGTTTCACCTTTCTCCTGCAATCTTAAAGAAGAAAGAGAAAATGGGGGGGGGGAAAGGAGCTAGACAGAAAAAAAGAAGAAAAGAGTAGAAATGAAAGGAAGGAAAGAAAGGAGAGAAGAAAAGGGAGAGTAGAAAGGGCAAGCATTCTACGGTTGAAGAAGAAGAACAGCCCTGCTGTCTGCTGCCTTTCTTCGTGTTCCGGCTGTCCAAACAGCAAGAGGCTGTCGTGAGTTTTCTTCACAGCAAACAGCAACAGCAAGCAGCAGTCGCTGCTGTGCTGTTTCTCCTTCTTCTCGACTAAACAGCCATGCTGCCGTACGTTTTCTTCAACAGCAAACAGCCCACGACTGTTCTTCACAACAGCAAACAGCTCACGGCTGTTCTTCGCGACAGCAAAAAGCAGCCACAGACGCTGTTTTGACTTACCGTCTTCGCCGGACAGCAGCAGCAGCAACAAATAAAGGGGGGCTGTCGGTGCTTTTCCGTCGCCTCTCAAACAGCAAGAATCAGCAGCAGAACAGCCGCAGCAAACAGCAAGGGAGCACAGCAGCCTTGCCGGGCTATTTCGGCGCTTCCCGATCACTCTAACAGCAGCCTCGCTGTGTTATTGTTCCGTCGTCTCAGTCGTCGAACAGCAGCAAAGCAGCAGCTCCAAACAGTGGCCGAAAGCCATTGCTTTCTTCGCATCCTCGTCAAACTGCAGCACCAAACAGTGGCCGAACGCCACTGCCTTTCTTCGTCGTTTTCGCCGAGCCAAACAGCAACAATAGTAGCTGTTGTATTGTACCAGACCCTGCTGTTTTATTGCCTTCTCCATCTTCCTTTTAGCTTCAAGATCTTAGGATTTCTCTTAAATCCTACAATGTGAGTTCATACTAACCTTTTAGAAGTTTTGATACCATTCCTTTGATTTTCTTCATGAATGGCTATTTTGGTGAAATTCTTGAGTATTGATCTTGTAATCAATAATATAAACATGGTTAGATGGTATTTTGATTGTTGGAATAAATATTGAATCCAAAATATGGCTTTTAGCCTATTTAGTTGGTGAATTCGACAGCACCAAATCTACCCGAGATGCTGTTTTGAATGTGCGATAACTTCTTAACCGTAGCTCGGATTGCTACGATTCTGGACATTTTAGAAAGCTTATATGTAGATCTAAACCTGTYCTTTAGACACTTTTTAGAAATAAGACTTCTAGGTTGGTTATATTTGSGTCTCAAAACTGATAAAAGTTAATTTTAAGCTGTCAGTTATAGTTCCTAAAATGAGTTTAAATTAAGTTTGGTTAAGTTTTTGTCGTCGGATCTTTATGAAACTTTGGGTACATATTACAAGTGTTAAATAAGCTCACTTGGTCCTTCCAGAGTGACCGTTGGTCGATTTTTAGACGTATATGGACGTAGAGCCTAAGTTGGCTCGATTGTTTGAGTATYGAAAAGCACTGTGAGTTCATCCCACTCCCCTTTTTACGAGAACTCATACTATTCGAGTTGGTGTGTTCTATCTATTATATGCCCTACATATTGTAGAATTTACTTGTTTATTTGAAGAGGGCGGTTTAAGTGAAAAGTGCATAAACTTGGAAACTTTCGTTAATTACACTTGGACGAGTTAAAAGAGGCTTTGTTTCGAAAATGGGGTCCGTGTCCTCACAATATTTCTCTTGGTCATAAAGCTAAAAGAGAACCCCTTAAAGCTACACATGGTGTACTTATCTAGAAAAGAAGGGTATTTTTATTTGATTAAGGACTTATATAAAAATCTTATTGTGTATAAGTGCCTTTATGCTTAATTTACCGCCTTTGATCATGACACCATGAGGTATTGGATTATGAACATGAAAGTCGTCTTATT